ACCACTTTTATTAATTGTTATAATGATTTGTCCATCATAATATTGACTTTCGAAGAAATATTTTTTAATTATAATCATTCCAAGTTTGAGAACTATAATAGCGTAAAACGAATTACATACGATATACCATCAAAATGTAATTTTGTATATCATATTATTGTATGCACRCCGACATTGTTGTAAAAGTGTTATTTAGCTAGCTCAGAGATTATATTGTATTTATTAAAAAAATATAAGTTTAAATTTGAAAATCAAAAGTTTATAGCATATTTCATTCACAAACTAGAGTCAAACCCTTAAAAGCAATACATGTCAAAATCATACGAGTTTTCAAACATATTAGAAAATAGAAAAAAAATCAACAATAATTTATGAATCAAAAATTAGTGTTCACTATTAAACCGATCTTTTATTATGACTTTGTGGTGTATACCTATACTACACTTATTCGTTTTTCAGATAATATATTGTTGAACAATAATAATTGTTCTATTAACAAACGGTGTGATATACACAAGTATTCTGTACAYGGCATCGCTGAAATATATATAGGGGTTCATAATATAACGGTTGTGTATATACATCATAATACAAGCTACTTATAATTGTGTAACCAGCGTGTTATTTTTTTCGCGTGCACAAGACTGACGTTTTGTGTTTAATATATTGTTTTGAATAACACAACGACATGCTAGGCGCCTATAAGCATTCGGGTATACCAACCTCGTGCGCGAACTACCTAAAATTATAGACGTACTTATTTAATAATATTAATATCTCAAAACACACACCGGAAACGGTTCGAGTGATTCTGTGAATAAATCGTGACGAAATCATGAGCATTTCGAATTATTCAACAAATCTGGAGTACCCGCGTGGAGGAGTGTCACGCAAATGGTACCAAAATGCGATGCACTAAAAAAAAGTAAAGTATTTAAAACGCAGAACGTGCACGCGCATGATATTGCACGAGTCATCGGGTTTTGGCGGCAGCTTTACTCATATGCGTGAAACTGAGTAAAACGCTGTGCGCCGTGTTTTCAATGATCGGTAATCTTGTGAAAGATACTTTTTTWAAAGTTTTATTCAAATRCTTATTTTGTAAAATTCAAAATACGAATTTTAATACACCAGAGCAATAGCATTTGACTACGAATATAAATACACGAAAAAAAGTTTTTTAGATACTCTCAAATAATTTCATTTTTTTTTTTTTTAATATAATGTATGTTTTACTTGATTAATCGATTGAACCGATTATTATGTTTTATATTTATTTTATATGGATTATATATTTTTACACCACAACATTAGTGGAACTTCAAAATGTTCAACTATTTTATTTTTATTTTATGTTTTTTGTCAAATGATTTGATTTTTAGTTGAGTATTATTAACAACTAACAAATATAACTAACAGTAAAAATATAAATTATTATACAAACCTATTCTCAATTTTTATTTTTATTTAGCCTCCAGTCAAGTGCCATTAGTGGGTGGCTTCTTACTCATGTACTCATGTCTTATATGTAACCCTTATCAAATATGCTAATTGTGCATAATTGTACAGATTGTATATATTATTGTGTAAAAAAAAAAAAWTTATTTTACGAGATATAAATCAATGTATAAACTAAAAATAATTTTTGAAGTATTTGAAAATAAGTATTTCGTATTTGATTTTAAATATAAATACTTTGAAGTTCGAAAACGTATACAAAATACTTTTATGCACTGAATTATACTTTAAATGTATTCAGATTTCAGAATACGTTTTTAAATATACTTGATGTAATTTGTATTTTWAATACTTCTTTCATAAATATTTTATGTTTATCTCAAATGTTTACTTGTTCAAAATAATTATTWATGAATATTTGAATTAAATAATTAAAGAATACATTCTTGAATTGATTATTTTAACATATTAAGTTACCAACCAACTTCAGCAAAGTAGATATGAATTTTAGATATCTTCTCATCTATATATCCTATCAAATTTTAGAACTCTTAAGAGCATGAGATATTATTTTAAGACATTTATTTTTAAAATTGTAACATATGACATAAAAATATTGTTTGTTACATTATGGCGGTAAAAGAAAAAAGTATAAAGGTTTTGGAATAAAATATAAAGAAAAAGTATTTTTAAAGTATTTAAATACCTATAAATATTCGAATACSTAACCAGACTGCTGGTCGGTGCTACATTGAAGTGAGTGATACACTCGTTTTTATTCACAAGMCATCGTTTTGGTCACGATAAGTTATATATGTCGTAATTTTATTGTTGGCCAAATAAATGTGTCTAKGTATATTATTAAAATATGATTTTTCAATATTCGGCTTTAGTATACTTTGGTGTACATCAATACTTCGCTATTTATATAATATCATTTTAGAAACCGAAATCGTTTAAAAGTGTTGATAATCAAGAATGTTGTTGATCGGTTCAATAATACATTGTTGACTCGAAAAAATGGTAACACGATAGTATTTCTTAATATTTGTGTACCAATAATATGAAAAAATTCAGATTAATAATATTATTTTTGTAAGAATAATAATAATTTATAGTTTTTATACGACTAAAAATATCAGTACTCTATGTCKTATACCTCAACATAAACGATTTATATTAAAATACCTACCTTGGCTATTAAAATAGATTTTGTTTGAAACGTTGTTAATCTTCGAAGACCACGAAACATTTGAATCAGTAGCAATGAGTTGTAGAGTAGTAATGACTAGTGAAAAAATAATCTGGTCGCAACAGAATAAAAATATATTAWGAATTTAAGAAGCATAACTCATTGATCATATGCTCAAAACCATGTAATAGCACAAATTGTATAACTTATAAAATACAATTTATTCAAATTATCCTATTTTGGTTATAACAAATAAATGTTATTAATTACAGTTTTTTATCAAATATTAATTTTATGTTAAGCATTACATTACCGCATTTAATGAMGATTAACTGAAATCATTGTAAAAGATTAAAAAAAAAATCACCTTCACCATTGCCATCAAAAAATATTTAATACCTACCTAGTTGAATAAAATCTTAACTCTTGAAATATCTGGTTATTACCTAATGTTTTTTACTCACTATTCTTTTTTTAGTATCGTAAGTAGGTCATAACAAATTTGGATTTTGATCAAATTAAAAAAACAATTATTTACATGCTTAATTTGTACTGATTAAAAGTGTATAGAACTGTTATTATTTTATTGTTTGAAATAAATATATTGACTTTTTACGATGATATTTTTACTAATGA